AATGGGAAATTTACCAAAGATTATTTTATGATCTCTTATTCCACTTATTCTTCCCCCTTCACCAAAAATAATGCTATTACTCTCTTAATTTCTTAGTTTTAGGTAACATTTTCACAACATTTACAGAAGTAGTGTTAAGGGAATACCAATTCAAGAAATTTATTAGATGATTATTAATTAAGTACATGTAATATGATTAATTCAGAAGCAGAGACTTTTAGCATTTAGAGTTAGCACATAAAATTTAGAGCTGGAAGGGTCATTGGTGCCTGCACATGGTCATACAAGTAGTAAGTGGTCAAATCAGGATCCCCACCCTGATTTATGCAATTTATTTTTGAAACTAAATATGGGATATTATATTTGTCCATGCTATATTTTACTTTGTTAGCTTGGACATGCAGTGTTTCCTTATTTCCAGTTTTTAACTGGTCAATCAATAAGCATTTATTAAGCTGCTACATGTCCGGTACTGTTTCTAGGCCTTGGAGATAACAAAAATAAATAAATGAATAAACAAACAAATGAATGAATGAATAAATAAATAATAATTAAATAAATAAGTAAATAAAAAAAATAAATGGTTGAATAAATAAAGAAAGAAAGAAAAGTTCACTGCCTTCAAGGGACATACAATCTAGGTAGGAAAAATAAGTTAAAATAGACCTATTTGTTACATCAAATCATGTGATGACCCCTTTACTTTCTAGAAAAGTGACTCTTAAAATCTGTTTCACCCACAATAATAAAGCTCTTTCATTAATTTGGTTTTCTATGTCTCGGCTCTGTGTGTTTGCACAAGCCACCCCCTATGCCTGGAATGGGTTTCCCTTCTCCTCAGAATTTTTTTTTCTCTTTTCAAGGCTCAAGTAAGGTATAACCTTCTCCAGGTTAATCTTCCTTACCCTCTCCCCTGCCTCTAAGTATTAGAGCTTTCACCTGCCTCACTATTCTCGGTAGTCTAGTTGTACACATATGATGTCCCCCAAATAGACTCTAAACTTCTTGAGGGCAGGAATGCTTGCAGTTTTGTCATTAAACCCTTAGTTCCAGGGACAGTATCATGACAAGTTTCAGTTGAAATAAGAAATTCTGCCTTGCACATATGAATTTATGCTTGCTACTGAGTTATGGGATGCAATATTTATGTAGTTTATTAAAGAGAAATGATGAGCAGACTATAAAAATAAATAGGTGACATGAAAACAAATTAGTAAGACACGAAACAGATTGTATATTGCATTACAATATGGTATGATTTACATTCCTATCACACATTTACACTCAATTTTTACATTCTATTTTTGAATTTTAATGGATATGCCGCTAACATTGTTATATTGACTGTGTTAGTTACTAATCATTTTCATTCAGACCAATTAAAGTGTCCAAAGCCCCAGTGGAAATTTTACAGTGGCACTAGAAGAGAATTCCGAGACCTGTACTAAAGCAGAAAGTAAGTGGATATTTTCTCCCTTTGTGATTCAGAAAGGTGGGCAAATTGTATCATCCTTCAGAGTCAGAAGGAAAGAATCTGACTGGTTCATGGATTCTCTTCTTGGAAGCAGGCTTTCCCCTCTGTCTAAACTAAAATTACCTATGATGGTCAAAATAGACTTTTCTAAAGAATGAGGGCTACAATTAAGAACAAAATTCACATTCATTGGTAATGTATGATATTAACATTATTGGTGCCTAACATTATTGGTATCATCACTAATGAGTTAACAGATTTACTGAATATAATATTAGTCATGAAAACTCATAGGGTATCATTATTCTAGAGAGACTTATGACTTAACTGCCACAAATCAAAAAACTCAGTTCTTCTATGGAAATGGAAAAGGTCAAAGATGTGGAAGAAGCATTAGATTAAAAATCTGGATAGTGGGGCATTAGTCCTCTCTGAGACACTTATGGTGCTAAGGCCCTCTCTAGACCTCAAATTACTCACTAAATGATTTCCAAAGTTGATTTTAGGTAGAACACTTATTATTCTGTTATCTGTGATTCTGGCATTCAAATTAAACTGTAAAAAACTTCCCAGAGGACAGGTTATTGAGCTCTTACCAGCAGCATGATTCAAGAGTACCCAAAATAATGATGGAGAGGGAAGAATTGTGCTGATCCAAGTCAAGGAAATGTCCCATAATAAGAAGAGTCAGACCTATGGTTGGCATGTATACCTTCTCTTTCTCTTACCTTATTATATGCCCAACATTGGCTTTCTCTGTTCAAAATATAAGGCATTTAGAAAAATAGATTTTTTTTGGAAGGTAGTTGGAAGGAGGCTAAGAAGTTATCTATTGAAAACTCATTTTCAGTGGAAACCAAGGCTCAGAAAAATGACGTGACTGACCAAAGCAGAGAGAGTGGATTAGTAGTAGAGCTAGAAACAGAATTAGGCCGTCTGACAGTTCTTCCACTTGGTGTCTTGAAGACAAGGTTTCCTTCTTATTATGCTTATCACTCTTTGATCTTTCTGAACAGCTCCACTATTCCATCCGTGTCCTTATAAAACGTTTTTTAATTTAAAGTAACATTTTCAGAAAAAATTCTTTTCCAGAAAGGTTTTCAAGTTCTCTAACAAATTGTTCTGTGTGTCATTTATTTTATAGTCAAATGAAAATGCTAGAAACTAGCACTAAATTTGATCCAGGCAGAATATCCAATTCAATATATCTGGCAGATATGAAACCATATTTATCGAACTATCTAAAACCTCCATTTTAGAATGTAACCACATGCAATGATTAGGAAGTTGTAAAGAAATACCCTACTTCCATTAGAAAAAATTCTTTGGAATTCTTAAAGGTTACTGTCTTTTCCCATTCTATAGCGAATAATGAACTTTATCAAGGAGATTATATCCACTAAAAACAACTTACAGGTCAAGCCATTAAAGTTCATTTACTTAAACCATAAATTTAATAAATTCTGGATTTTTTCCCACTTTATTTTACTATTTCTGGCCTTTCCCCACCAAACAAGGCATAGGACACATTTGAAAAATATCTAATCAAAATTCTGCCAATAAATATTAAGTTACATATATTTTAAGATAATGAACTTTATTTCATAGGAATGAAAACTAATTATTACAAAAATATCACTGTTTAGAAAATCTGCCTGCAATGTCACTAACTGCAGTTTTCTAGTTCCATTTTGGACCCTTCTGAGACCTTGTAGAAATATGACAAACAATGCTATCTTTCAAATTTGCCATTTACTTTCTTATTCAAGGTAAGAACTTACATTCCAAGGGTTGCTTAGGTCTATGATACACAGTTGGAGAAACCATCCAACTAGTCTATCAACACTACCAACATTACCATTTTAAACAATCATTACAGATGGACAATGAACAGGAACCAGAATTCAATAGAAAGAAAAGAGGAGAGGGCTAGATTGTATTTTTTAAATTGTACAAAATTTGTAACAACCCAAAGCTTCCCCACTAAAGAAAGGCCCATCTTTTCAAGTAATGTGTGACCAGAAAAGGTAAGCCAGTGGGAAAAACCAGTGGACAGCCCACATGCTCTTTTGCAACACAGTGTGAAATCAGGAGTACACTAAGTGAAACTCCTGTGGAGGATTTACAGGAAATGTATTGACAAGAGTTATACAAAGTGAGAAGGCATGAACAGATTATAGCCTGCAACACAGGGTTTGCTCCGCCCACTAGAAAAAGAATAGGATTAAAGAATAAAAAACCTATTAGTTTATCCCTATCAGGTAAGAGTGCATTTTATTGATATGGGAACAACACACACAGAGGCTTGTAACCCCATAAAATACTGTTCCTTAACATTTTATTATATGCTTTGAATTTGATAAATGTTTATTATCTCCTTAGAATTTGGTGTTTCCACAACATAGCCTTCAAACTCTGTAAAAGATGTCATATCTCAATGTTTAAGCACTTGAAAACAGATTAAAAAGCTTTCCAGGCAGCTTACTAAATATCCATTTGACGATTACTTTTGCACACATACAAATTAATTTTTAAAACAACTTTGTACTTCAGTGTCAAAGAAGACAAACACTAAGAGTTGCCTAGTGTCAGATTTTTAAAGTCTCACTAGTGTAACCAAAACAAACGCTCTGGGGAGAACTAAAAGTCAAATCAAGAGAAAACCGGTTTGCAATTCTGCGTATTCCTAAGCAGGTTTAATAGGAGAGAGAGTTTTAAATACTCCACTATGACTACGCTAAATATTACTTCCTGTACATGCTTTAAATGGCTAGATCTTCACACCTCTAAGACTTCCTCTAAACTTCATTTAGACAAGATAAAATACCAATTGTGAAAATTCGAGTGATTTAAAGTTCGATAATGCACGATTTGGTTAGCAAACATGAATGTTGCTTGGAGTGGTAACTACAGTCATTTTAACCTTTACCAAGTCTGCCTCAATACATGGTTTATAGTTTTCCTGAGAGTCTGAACAGAGGAAGTATGTAATTTGCGTAATAGTGTTTTCTACTTACATGTTTCTAAACAAACGAATCTCCCAAGGACAGAACTACTCAAAGTGAATTCACCATGTCTGCGCTTGGGGGAAGCCTCAAAGCCATTGAATCTGGGTTAATAATCTAACCACACAGTAGGAGAAAGAGGTTTTTACAGTGTCTCGGTCCCTAACGCTCAATGCGGACTCAGTTTGCATCCTTTTAAATGAGCCAAAGGAGGTCCTTCCTGAAGACAACTCTCTTCCCGCAGTTTACCTGGTTTAGCCCAGATTCAACAGTCCAATGTCCTCGTCTAACTCTCACTTACACCTATTCTGTGTGAGATTACCTTGCCAGTCAGTGCTTCCTGTCCTAAAAGCGCTTCAGGCAACCTGCAGCCACAGAGCTCCAACGGAGCTGCATCCCAAAGGGGCGAGTCCCCCTCTCCCATCACCAACTTTCTCCCCATTCCCGCTACGAAGCCGGGAATCAGTCTCCCATCCAGTCCCCACACCGATAGAGATCCGAGGGAGTACAAAGTGCCTTACCTGCCCAATGTCAGCGTTCACCAGGAGCCCAGCAGAGCCAAGGGCTCCAGCCCCCGGTGAAGGGCGCTCAGTTTGCCGCGCCAGCCGCGCAACCTGGTCGGAAAGCTCCGCGCTCAGCTCACCTGCTCGCGTCGCACTGGCGGCTGGGGCCGTTGCCGCTCATGCACGGAGAGAGCTTGCCAAGGTTCTCCCCCAGGGACTCGGGCTGCCGGGCGGGAGGGGCGAAAGGGGCGGCCGCGGAGCAGGCATCACGAGCAACAGCTGCAACTTCCCAGCACTCACACATGCACACACACACACTCACTCACTCACACGCGAGCAGTCTCTTAAAGGGAAACAGTCCTGCCCAAGAACTTTAAATTGCCTCCGACCAAAAAGACGGAAGCGTGTTGGCTAGTCTACCATACTCTCAGGTACCTGGATTGTCATGGAGCGAGCAGGAAGAGAGAATATTTCAGGCTCGTTACGTCTGGATCGGCTCACGGGAATAAATACCTGAAAAATCTGACATTATATGTGCTGTTATTTTGTTTTGTTTTTGTAATCCTGGCACCTTGTGCAGGGTAGGCACACTCAATAAATGTTTGTTGAATTAGAAGCTTTCAACAATGTATCACATAAACAATTAAATTTTGTAGGCCTTTCATTTATAACGCTTCAGATATTCGCTAGAAGACTTAATGAATAGAATTCTGGACTTGGAACTAGGCAGATCTGAATTCAAATACTGCCTAAGACGGTGTGTGACCCTGAACAAGTCATTTAAAGGAGAACCAGAATTGAAGCAGACCTGGAGAAACCAAGCAAATTTTTGTGTTAATCGACAGGCCTGGTTCTTTTAGGCTTAAGTTTCCTTCTCTGTAAAAATGTAATAATACCTGCCTGATGTGAGGTTCAAGTGAGATAATGAATATGAAGTGTAAATGCTAGTTAGCATCATTTATTTATTTATGTATTTTCACACATCTCTATAGAAAAACATTACAGGAACATCTTTCACTGACTAAAACCTGAAGGACAGCAAGGTTTAATCACAGAATCATAGGTTTAGAGCTGGAAGGGTCCTGTGACAGGATGTAGTACAACCAACCTCTTTATTTTACAAGATGAGGAAACTGAAACTCAGAGATGTTAAGTGACTTACCCAAGCCACACAAGTAGGAAAGCAGCAGGACGGGGATTGAAACCAAAGTCCTCTGAACCCAGAACCAATGATGCAATTGTCATCCCATGCTGCTCGCCATGTATTTCACTGTTTTAACTCTCTTCATCCCTGTAGTCCTTCCTCCTTTATTCCTTCCTCCTTCTGCTCTTTTCCTCCCCTCCCCATCACAAAATATTTACTGAGTGGACAGCAATTCAGAGTAATGTTAAGAAAGTGACTAAAATGTTCATATTCTTTGACTCAGTTCCCACTGCTAGTTAGGTCAGAGGCAGAAAAGTTTCATATGCACCAAGATACTCATAGCAGAAAGCTGGATACAAAAGGGATAGACATTGGGGAATGGCTGAATAAATCTTGGTTCGTGGATAAATAGAATGTTACTATTTCATAAGAAAAAAATGACTATGAAGAATTCAGATAACATAGGGAACACATATGAAATGATTCAAAGTGAAGTAAAAGGAACCAGGTAAACAATATATAGAAAACCAAAACCTGTATATATAGAGAGAGGGAGAAGTTAGGAGTATGGGAGGGAATGTTGTTAGAGGAAGATCTAATTCCCTTTTTTGCAGAAGTGGGGAATACTGAATACATTGCCAAAGTCAAATTATGCTTCCATTACTTTACCGAACTGATTTCCTCCCTCTTTCTTTTTTAATCTTTCATACAAGGCTGGCTCTCTGGGTAGTAGGGGGGGATGTGTTTGGAAATGAATGTAATATAAAAATGAAAGGTATCAATAAAATGTGTTTAAGTATTTATTGAGTACCTGCAATGGATCAAAGTAGATGACTTCAAAGATTTTGTCTACTTCAGCAATTCTATGACTGTGTGCTCAGTATTGAGCTAGGAGAGCATATTACCTAGCACAAGTATGTCTCTTCTTTCAAAAGTTGAGCATGTAGTTGGAGAGAGAGTAAAGAATGAAAGTGTTGCAGAGGGAATATAAGTAATTATTTTAAATGTCAGTAGAGGAAAAATAGAGTGGTTTAGAAAAAGTGTGGGGAATATGGAGAATAACATTCTGTAGAACACGAGGGTTAGTTTCTTGGAAGAGAAGAATCTTGACTAAGGCCTCAATTAATGGGTAGGACTTATATAGGTAAAGAGGAGAAAAAATTTATTTCCACGGAGAGCACTGTGGATTTGTAAGACAATGGACTGACTAGAGTTGAAAGTTTCTGTTGGAGGTATAGTGGGAAATAATGTTGAAAAACTAACATAAGACAAGATTATGGAGGACCTTAAAAACTAGAGAAAGGAATTTAGAGAGTATTTTGGAGCAAGGTAGGGATTAAAGCAACTGTCAGAACTAATAAGAGAAACCAATTCTCCTGAAAACAGCCCTTCTACTAGCCTATTTCATTTAAGTTTATTAAAATGCTTTCATCAGCTGGACCTAACTCAAGGTGGTCCCCTGGTTGTTTCTCCAAAATTAAGAAAATAAGTTTTGTTTGGCCATAGCAGAAGGAGGACATTCAGAGCAAGGAAAGGATGTTCTTCCAGGATAAAGCATTAATTAATGATAATAAAAATAGCCAGCATTTTAAGCTTTGCAGAACACTTTACAGACAAATAGCCCTAACAGAGGGAAGGGTAAATGATTACCAAGAAATACAGGAACTAGAGCTGGAGGAGATCCTTAGATATAACCTAGTTGATCCCTTTCAGTTTACAGATGAGGAGACTGTGGTCCAGAAAGATAGAGGCTAGCCCAAGGTCATGTAAATAGTAAATAACTGGGATATGAACACAGAGCCTCTAAAATCAAGATGCATTATGTTTTTGTTTTTGTTTTTTATTTTTTCCCTCCGGGACCATCTACTAGGAAAAAATAGAAGGAAATAAAAGATGGAGCCCAGATGTTGAGGAAAGTGAGGAAGAAAAACAAGAAAGAAATAGAATTGAGATGGGAGGGAAGAAAACAAAAGAGAAAGTAAGAAGGAAAATATCAAAATGTCTATAAATAGAAATACTTAGAAATAATTTAGAACAAAACATGCATAAGGATAGGGATCCACTCCACTCCAATTAATTGCAAAACTCTCAAATACCTGAACTGAATCAAACATCAACAATAAACTAGGTGTGAATGAGTCCTTAATCTATTTGAAAGGAATTTAGGGACTTTCGGTCATTAAAGTAAATGACATCACACAGGAAATAGCTTGAGATTTAAAGAGAATCAATCCCACATACATAAAATCAGTCAAATGTATAAGAATAACAAATTAATTTTGAGTGACTCAGATGAGTGGTGGTCAAATCTATTAAATATGGGGAAGGAGTAAGAATTTTTGCCCCACCATGATTGTCCAGGGACAACCTACTGAAACTTAAAATACCTGTGGATCTGATCAGCAATGGTAGTGGTATCCACTAGAGCTACAAGTAATGTCCTGGGAGCAGCCATGGCTGTAGATATTTGCACTGGCGGTTGAGAGACACATAGGGAAAGGAAGCTTCAAGACTCTTAAGTACTTATTGGCCTATTTATGACCCTATTTAGGGGTTTTCTTGGCAAAGATACTAGAATACTTTGTCATTTCCTTCTCCAGCACATTTGACAGATAAGGAATATGAAGCAAACAGAATTAAGTGACTTACCCAGGGTCACACAGCTAGTAAGTGTCTGGGGCCCGATTTGAACTCATGAAGATGAATCTTCCTGACTGCTTGCCTGGCACTCTATCCACTTTGCCACCTAGCCACCTTGCAATTTATTACTATATTTTAAAAGTTTAGATCTGCTATTGAATGGGTATTGCCTCAGACAAACTGAGGCCTAGAAAAGACCTTAAGTTATTTATTTCATTTTTTTGTGGGGTGAGGCAATGGGGTGAAGTGACTTGCCCAGGGCCACACAGCTAGTAAGTGTCAAGTGTCTGAGGCCAGATTTGAAATCAGGTGTCCTGAATCCAAGGTGGCTGCTCTATCCACTGCACCATCTATCCGCCCCAAAAGACCTTAATTGAGAAAGGCCAAGGTCACCTACTGCATCCTGGCCCATCACTGGTCCTCTTGACTTTTGTCTTGTGACTGGACTTTAATGACTTTGGAGGGGAAAGTGAAGAGAAGATTTGCCTCACTTAAATCCGGTTCACAAGCGAGTCAAGATATCACCCTCAACAACAATAACAATAACAATAACAGATCTACTCTTGGCAGAGCTCGTGTGTGCAAGGACTAAGTACGTTCCCAATTTGGGGGGATTATTTCTGTAACAACTGATCTCACTATGTAATAATAATAATAATAAAACAACTAACATTTATATGGTGCTTACTCTGTGTCAGGTATGGTGCTAAATATTATCTTTATTGCTCCTCACAACAATCCTAGGAGATAGGTACTATTATTATCCCCATTTCACAGGTAAGGAAACTGAGGCAAACAGAAGTTAAATAACTTGCCTAATTTCACACAGTTAGCACATGTCTGAATCTGAATTTGAACTCAGGTCTTCCTGATTCCAGACCCAGCACTCTATCCACTGTTTTTAACCTACATTATAAAAGCTAATTAAGTCTGGCTGATAATCAGTGGGAAGTCCCACCACCAGAACTGATGAGAAAAGCACTAGAAACCTCACTGAGCTTCAGGGTTAACCGCAGAAACATGAAGATGATGTATTCATGTAATGTGAGTGGGAGTTGGGGGAGTAGCTCCAACTTAAAGGGGGTTCTTCATAAGAAAAAAAAATAGCATGGAAAAATTTTCAGGGGTTAACAGAAAAAAATGAGTATTAATGTTATGAGTAGAAATAGCAAGCATAAATTTTAAGGGCTATATACTACCATGATACAATGTATTAACAATGTGTAAAGTTTCTAGCCCTCATTTCCTTCCCAAGTAGAGTTATTAGCTCTACTCTGTGATTTCTGTATCATCTAAGTATACTGTGAAAGTAAAAGATTAAAGCTCTATACGTTATATAAAAATAAGAGATGAATAACTGAAAATATAGCCACCTAAGGTCATGATGCTCTCCATCCTTCAGAGATAGACATTG